TTTTTTTTTTTTTTTTTTTTTTTTTTTTTTTTTTTTTTTTTTTTTTTTTTTTTTTTTTTTATGAGTTGTCAAATTTTTTCATCTTTTTTTAAAAATTTTCAAAAATTCTTTAAATAATATTTTTTGCGTTTTATGAATACATTAATTGATTCTTTTGCGTTACATTCTTTCTCAATTTTTCCATTCGTGATCGAGATATTTTTTTAGCTTAAGGACGTTCAATGAAATTTTATGGGATTCCTTTGTAATGCTACACGTTAAATTGAGATTCTTTAAAACGTAACATCTCGGGAATCATATAAACAAAGCGTACAGTCAAATGAAGTGCGTATTCATGTGGGTGTTTTTTATGCTATTTTAACAAGACGTTTCATGTTTGTATAATATCTGTTAAGAAAATCTACGTGTGATAAACATCCTGCAGCAACATTCACAGATTTGTAATACTACCTTATTGAAGATAAAGTGGTACAGGATGAGTTACTACAGGACGTTTTTCTTACCCTTTTAGATATGATGATATTATAGGTATAAAAGCTAGACTAGGAATAAGTGTATGAGCATATGTGATAAATAATATGAGTATGACGTTAGAGACAACATCAGAGTAGGTGGTAAGAAGTTCTTTCAAAATCTTCGGAAGATTCATAATCATACATTCATTAAATATAAAAATATTAATTCAAACCCCACCCAATTAAAGTAGGCATGCTAATTCCAACAATAGTTTCACTACCTTTGTACGCAATATCGTTTCATGGAAGGGATAATAATATTTATAGTAAACATTGTCTGCCATATCATTTCATAAAAATAAAAGTCAAACTTTATACTTGGGTACCCAAGCACCGACTGTCCACTAATTTTTATAGATAACTTACTTTTTATCTTTGTTTTAAGTGATTTTTTTATTCTTAGTTCCAGCTTACTTCGTCCATGGAAATATCAATAACGTTACAATAACACGATTTGCAAAAGACCCAGAAAATCCTGTATACTTATCATGTCACTTTGAAGGCATCCCAACACCTAATATTATGTGGTTCAAAAACAGTACATCTATATTGTCATCAAAACAGTTTAGTTTAGAGGATAGAAATCAAAAGTTAATAATACGATATCTTTTGGAACGTGATGGTGGTGACTATTCATGTGTTGCAGAGAATGGTTTTTGGCCAGTAAAAAAATCTCAAACAATTATTGTCAAAGGTAACAGTTATCGATGCAAGTGATTGTGATGTTTATAACGAAAAACGTATTTTACATTATTAATGTACGGGCAACCTTACTTGTCACTTTGTTTTAAAAAACTTTTGTGAAGAAAATAAAAAATTGCAATACATTTAATGATATTGTCAAGTTTGAAATTAAGTTGTTCATACTTTCTGCTAGTCAATCGAATTTTCGTTAAAAAAAATTTGTCAAATTTATGATATGACTCTACCTAAAATGTTGTTTTTAAATTAAAAATTTTATTTCCCCATATTTTTATAACAAATAGGTGTAGTTGATTTTCTTAATCATAAAAGTTTTAACCTCTATTACTGGCTTGAAAAAATAATAGTATATGTAAAGTAATTGTATTTGACTTTAGGACATCGAGAACTTTACATGTGGATTGTGATGATCATGTGGCTTATTTCTCTTTTAATGTACTTTTATTTACAAACTAAACATGCAAAGGTAACTAGAAAATTTTAGATGTTGCTTAAGAATGAAATTTGCCAACACAGAATATTTTTATCACTGAATCAACAATAATTCCAAGTTTAAAGAAAAACAACTATTAAAAGCTGGCGATACGTATTTTAAAGAAGGAGCAGTTGATTTAATAAACCCAGAGTTAACCATAGACGAGCAGGCAGAACTTCTTCCTTACGATATTAGATGGGAGTTTCCTATTGAGAAGTTAAGATTAGGTAAGAAATTATAAATTTTCCCTACTGCCACTCAAAGGCCATGTAAATAAACATTTAAGTGATCCATAATAATGTAAATAACCTATTCATTCAATTAAAGATAAGCAATTAGGAAGCGGGGCTTTTGGAGTTGTGTATAAAGCAGAGGCCTATAGGATTCTTCCTCATGAGTCTATTACAACTGTGGCTGTAAAAACAGTTCGCAAAAATGCAGGTTTGATGTATATTAGTGCGCTGGCAAAGGAGCTTAAAATAATGGTTTATTTAGGACAACACTTAAATGTTATAAATCTTCTGGGCGCTTGCACCAAAAATATAGCCAAACGTAATAATTTACGAATAATTGTTCAAAATATTCATGCAAAAGAACTTATTTCATAAAAATAAAATTATGTTATCGGTAAGCTTTTGGTAATTATTGAGCTTCGTAAATTTGGAAATCTTTAAAGCTATCTCGTGCGTCATCGAAAAAATTTTTTTAACCAAATTGAACCAATTAAAGGTAAAATTGATACTTTTACAGGAAAAAATTTAAAAAGGTAAGAATTTAACTGCCTTAACTTCTTATTAAAATTTTAGAGCTACGGTGTGTTTTATTGACAAAAACCATTTTTGATTTTATTAAAGCGTGACTCTATTAGTCCCTTAGGACTCAAGCACATACATGAAATCGCGTAAAACGTCTTGCTTATTGGATAAAATTACAGGATCAGGGAAAGTTAGGTAAGGTACGCTCTCTGCAAAAAAAATCGTCATCGTGTACGTGTGAGAGAAAAATACGTGCATAAGTGTTATCAAACCAATCACAGCCAGCAGTTAGTTGGCAAAACACATGCTCTTTCGCACTCGCTTGTGGCAAAAATAAAGTTATGTGCGTATTTTTTTACTCATGTGCACGATGACAAATTTTTTTGCGTATAGCGTAAATAAAGTACGCAACCTGTGAATACAGTCAGTAGCTAATGTCTACAATATCAATCTAAGCTCCAATTGTATAATTAATTAGATTTTTGACATTGAATAAAAAACAAATCCTAAGACCTTTAAAAAATTATAGAAAGTCTTATCGACCTTTGCAATAACCCAATATCGCAAAGAAAAAGTAAGAAGTGTTATGATTGAACTGTATGAAATTCGTATACGGCAATCCATATTGACACCTTAACATAAGAGATGACAAAAGTTTTGTGAGGTAGCTCCCTTGTCTACATATGATAATAAAAAGTTTAACAGTAATATTAACAAAACCCAAGTACAGCCAAGTGTAGCCTAGGCAGCCAAAGTCCGAATGCAGTCGACCGCTCATACCTACATAGATATTTATGTACAGCTAGCCGAAGTGCATTTTTATGATCTTTAATATACGGGGTATCTGTTATACAGTCAAAAATAAATTATCTTTTTACTCTTGATAAGAGTCTCCAGAGGTAGAAGAGAAGGCTAGCGAGGATATTCAGTAGAAATGTTCGTCTTTAAAAATTAGCGCGTGTCAGTGACAAAAAATAAGGAGCTGAAACAATTTTCACTTTTTTTTTTTTAAATATCTCGAGAAAATGACTTACTGCATAAACGTTGCATCGTGGCATTTGAAACAAGAACAATTTTTTCATAAGGTCCTAATAATGGTTTTGCTCAGATAATCCAATTTTCTTTAGGAAATTCATGAGTCAATTATTGTCTATTACTATTCAATAATGGCATGTGTTGGAAATTAAGACTTTAAGTAAAAATTTCTCGAAATTTAGGGCAGGCTTGCAGTATAAAAAAAACACAAATGAATTTAATGGATCAATATCCATTAATTGAAACATATGTTATTACGTATAATTTCGCAAGGAAGCCTCCTTAAGTAATCTTTTGTTCTGGTACTGTATTGTTGTCAATGTGATTTGATATTGGACTGGAACTGAAAGACAATGTGATGTTTTTTTATTAATATCAATATCTCGTATAAAAACAATTACTTATAATATAATGATCCATTAACCTAAATTAAACATTTAACATTGACCGTATTACATACTATGTTTTACATAACAAATTACTTTATCCTTACTATCACATAATGTCTTTACTTTGGAGCTGGATTTACATGAATCATAAAACAAACTGTGTTTAATAACGAATTTGATAATGATTATATAGATGATTCAGTTAAAAAAAAAAGAAATTTTTTATCATTTCTAACAATAAGTAATGTTTAGCCTGTATCCAAGAAAGGATAAAATTTGTTAGGTTGTTAACCACGTAGTTAGTTATAGAACTTATTAAATACATCAAACAAAACACAAAACCTGTTTTGGTTACCTAAAAATTATAAATGTCACGAACGAAACAAATTTTTTTGGCCTATAGAACAAGACCTGAGATCTATGAAAATTTAACTATGGCCTTGTCTGACAGCAGTCCAAACGATAAGCACACCATTCACTATTCAGAAACTTCGAAATTCAGCGGCCCGATTGAATCCAGTGATGATTTGATGAATGAAGACTCTGAGCCAGGTTGGCGTTCTAATTATGATGGTGATTACACAGAAGAAGATTTTTCGTTTCTCTGCACTGAGGATCTTTTGTTATGGGCTTACCAGGTGGCAAACGGCATGAAGTTTCTTTCAGAAAGAAAGGCAAGCACTTATCATGTGCATTTATATAGAAATTTTTTGGTTACGTATTTATAATTAGGCATTGTCTAACTGTGGTTTTATGATGCTTATTCTTTTTACAGGTGCTGCACTGTGACTTGGCTGCAAGAAATATACTGTTAGCAGAGAACAACATTGTTAAGATCTGCGATTTTGGTTTAGCCAAGACATTGTACAAAGACGAAAACCATAAGAAGCAATGCGATGGGAAGTTACCCATAGGGTGGATGGCCATTGAGTCCATCAGAGACGGAGTCTTTTCCACTATGTCAGATGTGTGGTCATTTGGTGTAGTACTCTGGGAATTTTTCTCTCTTGTACAAATACCTTATTCAGGCGTAGGGTTTGAGGTGATGTTTTTCTGAAATTAATTAGGGGATACGGAATATCTCAGCCCACTTATGCCATCGATGACATGTAAATGAAATTTGTTATTATAAGTTCGTATTTGAAAAGCCGTTAAGTACTTAATTCGTTTACTTTATTTTTTAGACATAATATTATGCTCCATTGCTGGGAGGAAGAGCCGACATCCAGACCGTCTTGTACAATGCTGGTTGAAATAATTGGAAAACTTTTACAAAATAATACCAAAACCCATTTTCTAAGAATTTATCATAACTATGGAAATTTCGATAAAGAACGCCAGTTGGAAAAAAAAGATGACAATCAAGCAACAGCATCATTTTCTGAAGATATGATAATTCCGCTCTACTGGCACCGCAATTTATTGTTGCGTGTAAAACTAACAAAGGTTCATGCTTATGTCATATATCTGGTATATAATGCAAAAGCTCTAAATAAATATTTTATAAAATTTTTGAAGCCATTAAATGACTATTTTTACTGAACCTATCAAATTTACAATCGCTAAGGTTACAAGTAATCGAATAATACAATAGTCACAGGTCAGTAACTGGACGACGCTCGTAGAAACAACGAAGAAGAAGAGACTTATAACAAGGGCAAGGAACAAACAGCGGATGGTAAGTTCTCTTTTAACATTGTCGTGTAAACTATCTTAATTTCTGTTTAGCAAATCACAATCATACAGCTATAAATAGTGCGTGACAAGCAATATTCAATGTCTAGTGTCTCTACAGACTTTATGTATGGTTTTTCGATTATATGATTGATCACTGCTATAAAGTGCATTCATAGGCTTTACACAAATAAACGATAAAACTACACATCAAGTAATTTCAAGACATTCCTTACATTTATTTACACTGTTTATGGCTTAGGCCAAAGTCGGGCTCCAACTTTCTAAGCCTCAAATATTTGACCTACGACTTAGACACACCCTATATAGTTAGCTATGTCAAGCTCTCAAAGATGGAAGGACCCACTGACTCATTTACGGTGGGCAAAACTACTCACTCTTCTTGTCATAGTGTCAGGTACTTATAAGATTATCTTTTTTACATCTAAATACATAACTATCACTTTTATTTTCCTCGCGGTATTGTTTACAAATTTATCTCAAAATCAATACTGTAATTGCAATCGGTTCTGATACTGCATCAGCTTTTGCACTTTAATTCATTTTTTTTGTTACAATCTTTGAGTCTTTCTTTCACACTNTTTCTGATCATGTCATATATCTGGTATATAATGCAAAAGCTCTAAATAAATACTTTATAAAATTTTTGAAGCCATAAAATGAATATTTTTACTGAACCTATCAAATTTACAATCGCTAAGGTTACAAGTAATCGAATAATACAATAGTCGCAGTTCAGTAACTGGACGACGCTCGTAGAAACAACGAAGAAGAAGAGACTTATAACAAGGGCAAGGAACAAACAGCGGATGGTAAGTTTTCCTTTAACATTGCCGTGTAAACTATCTTGATTTCTATTCAGCAAATCACAATCATACAGCTCGAAACAGTGCGTGACAAGCAATATTTAATGTCTAGTGTCTCTACAGACTTTGTGTATGGTTCTTCGATTATATGATTGATCACTGCCATAAAGTGCATTCATAGGCTTTACACAAATAAACGATAAAACTACACATCAAGTAATTTCAAGACATTCCTTACATTTATTTACACTGTTTATGGCAACTTTCTAAGCCTCAAATATTTGACCTACGACTTAGACACACCCTATATTGTTAGCTATGTCAAGCTCTCAAAGATGGAAGGACCCACTGACTCATTTACGGTGGGCAAAACTACTCACTCTTCTTGTCATAGTGTCAGGTACTTATAAGATTATCTTTTTTACATCTAAATACATAACTATCACTCTTATTTTCCTCGCGGTATTGTTTACAAATTTATCTCAAAATCAATACTGTAATTGCAATCGGTTCTGATACTGCATCAGCTTTTTCACTTTAATTCATTTTTTTTGTTACAATCTTTGAGTCTTTCTTTCACACTGTAATTCAATAGATGCATGCAATAGACATGTGTATCACCACTATCATTAACATCTTTGTATGAATATCATGAATATTACAGTTTGATTTTACTGATTTAATCATCTAAAATACTGATTGACTGATAGTATAAAATCTTCAAAAACCTCTCTTTTGTGCCCAGTTGTAGCTGCTTGGCTATTGGTTAACGATATTGTGTATTTATTTTTTGTTATATTTTGAAATATTAAATGGTTAGGAATCATTTATGTTAACAAGTTTACGATCTGAATCGTAATTAAAATATATAAGGATAAGATGGCGTGACATTTACTTAAGTTGGCTCCAACGTGTATTGATACATAACGTAGGGTCAGTTAACATGGAACTTTAATTTTGTAGTACTTGCATAATTAATAATGTATCTGTATATATATTAAATTTAATATATATTAAAAATATAATGATAATAGTATAACCTTTTTTCCCTGATTTGGAAATAGATGGATTGTTTGGACATTGTTGATTTTATAAGTCGATATAATTTCGCTCTTCAAGATTAACAATGGCCAAACAATTTATCTACTATCAGATAAAGTTAATATTCCTAATTTTATGTAATATCCGATAGTTTTCGTAGTGATTTTTCAATCAGTATCAGTTAAAATTCCACATTACAGTAGCCTTTTCTGCAGGTAAATTATTACCTTCAACCATAAAGAAAAATGTATTACAACTTTTATTTTTTATCATTTGCCATGAAAAAGTGTGTGTACGGTTTCGAATTAACATACTGCATAAAATGAATTAATAAGTGCATTAACTCATATTACTTTTCACCTTTGTATGGCTTTTAGCTGATAATTGTTATATTTTTTCCAAATATTTTCTTATAGTGTCGATATGAGAAATGAAATGCTTAAATTTTAATTTAGTGTATTATTTTATCTAATGTTACTGCTTGATTCGTAGATAGCTACAAAATAAAAGAAATAGCTCTACTATCAACGAATAAAATAAAACTCATCGAATGTTGGATAGAACACAGATTAAGGTTCTAAGGCCATTGAGTCAGTTGAATACTTATTATACGCACGTGACCAAAATAATTAATTTCTATCTAAATTTATCACTAATGTGTAAAGATTAAGATCCTTATAACAATACTTATAGTGGTAAAACTAATTTTATTAAAAATTTTTTTAGCTTGGATTATTGTATAATCATGTAAAAGTTTGAGTAAAGATTCTTAACAATTTTTAATGACTATTTAAAATTAAAAAAAAACAGATCTTCGTGGATGAGTAAATTAAATGCATACATAAGTTTAACTACAGGAATACTGAAACAATTAAATTTATATTATCTTATGAAGAAAGTTACTTGGATGTCCGTTTATGTTGAATGTAAGTTCATAACAAATTCCGGCTTTTTAGTTTATCTCATAAAATGATCGAATAATGTCATACTACTGCACAAAAACTTAATTTAAAAGTTTTACTATTGTTATACAGCCATTACATGCCCATTTGTGCATGTACATGCAAAAGGGTATTATTTACTATCCTGACCCGAGCTCCTTGCTTGCAATCCGAAAAAGCCGAGCTCCTTGCTCGCAATCTTGTTCACATTAAATGAATCTTAGCGACAGATTCATCGCAACCATAGTTTCTGACGAGGTACAATTATCATTTTAAACACCACAAACTTACACAAATATCAATTCACTTGAGTATATTTTGTTATTCTCATCCATAATTTACTTATGTACAATCCTTTGACATAATTAATCAGGTTTTTTGCCGAAAGGCTTTTTCCTACAATAAGCTTCTTTCATTTTATACTATCTTGTTTTAAATACTCAAAAATCATCCCTTAATTAAATTTAGAGAGCGACTCTTGACCCCTGAGGTCTTACTCTCTACATGGCATTTCATTTTTAATTTGAAAATAGCCGTGCATTCTTCGTTACAGTTAGTCAGTTTCTTCTTTTTCGTGACTATGTAATCAGAAGAAGTTTGTTATTATTCACTAGTGATTTAAGGTTATAATGCACGTAACTCAATTTAACATATTAAACTTGCCTAAGCTTTTACTTCTATTAAAAGGTAAGCTTAGTAGGGTTGTATTTTAAATTCAAATAAAGTTTTTACAGGATATCAAGGCAGATGAACGAAGCAATAGTGCCGAATATAAGTCAATGGTAATGTTAAGACCTCAAGCAGAGTCAACAATAAAATGCATGGCTTGCAATAGTTATGGATGTAACGATATAAAATATGACATTCATATCACAGGTACGTAAATCTAAATAAATCATCTGCATTAAGTTTTCAGAGTGATGAAAATCAATGGTCAGAATTTTTTTTAATGTTTATTATTTTATTCAAAGACGGAATTCCCAATAAGGCTTATGGAATTATAAAACCAAAAATAAAATTTCGTGAAGGTCAAAATATTTCTTTAGTATGTTCTGCTGTCATTCGTGAATTTTACCCAATATCATGGTCAGTTGATAAAAGATACGAAATTGTAGATTCTGGTCAGTTCTACACTGAAGTTATGATAAAAGTTATTAAAACTTAAAGAGCAGTTTCGTTGTCCCGATTTGTAATCATTGGGATTTTACAATTTTTCAGTAAGAATTCACGTAACGTTCACGAAAACTAAGTACACCTATCGTGCCATCTTGTCTATCAACAATTTGAGTGGCTCAGATGAAGGAAATTATTATTGTTCATTCAGATATTCTTACCACTATGACGAAGAACTATAATTTCTAAAAGTAAATGGTACGAATAAAAAATTATTTTTTAAAAATAATTATATGCCAGGTCCTGTTTCAATAAATTGATTACTTTTAATTTTGCCTTTAATGATTTTAATCTTTAGTTCCAGCCCACTTTGTTCGTGGAAATGTTAATGACGCTGCAATAACACGATTTGCAAAAGATCTAGAAAATTCTGTCTATTTATCATGTCATTTCGAAGGAATGCCAGCACCTACCATTACATGGTTCAAAGACGGTACATCTTTATCGTCATCGAAGCAGTTTAGTTTAGAGGATGAAAATCAAAAGTTAATTATACGATATCTTTTGGAACCTGACAGTGGTAACTATTCATGTGTTGCAGAGAATGGCTTTTGGCCAGTGACAAAATCTCAAACAATTATTGTAAAAGATATGAATTGATGTACAAAATCATACTTTATTCTTCAAGAAAACTGACGACTAATTCCTTACTTTTATTAAAAGTACTGCTTTCCTCCAAAAAAACTTATAGAGTGACATTTACAACAAAATGAGTTTATTACATTATTAGTGTGGGGAGTATTCTTATACGTCATTTTCTTATGAAAAACTTTGTAATGAAAATGAAAATTTGAAATACAATTAATGATATTACCAAGTTTTCAAAGAGGTTGATTATACATTAAAAACTTTACTTGTGGATTGTGGTGATCGTGTGGCTTATAACAATTCTTACATCATGTTTAATACTCTTATATTTAAAAGCTCAACATGGGAAGGTAAAATAACGATTGTAATTATTTCTTAAATATTCTTATCATTGAATCAACAATAGTTTCTAGTTAAAAAAAAAACACCTATACTTAGTAGAAGCTGACTTTACGCATATAAAAGAAGTAGTAGTTGATTTGATGAACCCAGATTTAACGTACAACGTTCTATTTATCGAATTAATGATAAAAAATGGAGAAGCGGGGCTTTGTAAGTTCTGTATAAAGCAGAAGCACATCGGATTCTCCCTAATGAGTCCATGGCAATCTTCGTTGTGAAAACTATCCACAAAAATGCAGATTTAATGTATATTAGTGCGCTGGAAAGGGATTCAAAAGTTATGGTTTATCCAGGACAACATTTAAATTACAGAATTCTTCTGGGCACTTGCACCAAAAATATAGCCAAACGTAATAGTTTACGAATACCTGCTCGAAAAATTTATATAAAAGAACTCATCTAACAAAAATAAAATTATGCTGTACGTAAACTTTTGGTAATTGTCGAGCTTTGTAGATGTGAAAATCTTTAAAACTATCTCTTGCATCATCGAAACAATTTTATTAATCAAGTTGAACCAAACACAGGTGAAATCAAAACTTCTACAGGGAAAAATTGAAGGACATAACCATTTCACTGCTTTTATTGCTTACTGAAATATTTGTGCCATGGGTCATTTAATTGGCCAAAATTATTTTTAATTTAAAAATGAAATATTGAACGCTATTGGCGAATTAACAAAGTGAGTTCCTATCAGCCCGTTACTTGTAGAGCGTTTGATGAAGTAGCTCTCTTATATACATATCGATATAAAAAGTTTCACAGTAATATTACTTGAGCTCGAGTACAGCTGAAAGTAACCAAAGTGGCCCAAGCCCCGCTGCAGTCAAGCACACATACCTATATAGATTTGCATGTACTTCTAGCAAAAAGGCATCATTACGTTTGGTTTATGCACTGTGTATTTGTTATATTGTGGAAAAAAATTTTTTTTTTGCCTTTAACAAGAGTCGCTAGAGGTAGAAGAAAAGGCTAATTGGTCTATTAAATAGTGATGTTTGTTTTCGAAGATTCGCGCATATCAGTGACAATAAAATGGTGTCTGCACAGGTGCGGATTATATTTTCGTATTTGTCTGAAACAAGTTACTTTCTTTCTCAGGAAATATCACGAAAAAATGTTTTACTACCAGCACTTTGGAATGTGGCATTTGAAAGAAAAAGAATTCTTCTATGAGGACCTCAACATAGCTTAGATATTTCAATTTTCTTTAGGAGATGCATAAGTAACTTATTGTCTAATGCTATTTCAGGGGAGCTAATGTTAGTAATTAAGATGATCTTGAAGTAAAATCCTATAATAAAAATTATACTCTCTACTCTAAGAAACTATTGATTAGTCATGCATTAAATCTAGGACTTTACAATTTGCAAAAATTTAGCCAATTATTTGCTATATTCAAGTTTAGTGTAAAATTTCTCAATTATTATAAAAAAAGTTTTAAGTATCAGAAAAGTAAATAATGTCAAGGGAAAATTTATGCTTTTATTAATCTACTAAAATAACTTATTTTTGCTCCCGATTTTAAAATAAAATTTTTTTCGCAATAGTGTGCTGAAAATATGTGTTTTCCACATGGATATAAGTGTGGAAAATCGACTTTCCCTACTAATATCAGTGCGGAAAACACCTATTCTCCGCACACTTATTGCGAAAAAACTTGTACGCAGCTCGTGCGGGACGATTTTCCGCACTCATGTGATAGACTCGCAATCACGACTCGTGCTCGCAATTACAGGTACTATAGGAGAAAAAATCGTGAACACGGGTTCCAGTGGTGGTGATACCCTTTTTACAATATATTTACAAAAATTATATCCGTACAAATGATCTACATAGTAATAATTTTTTCATGTAAATCATAGAAAATGAGAGTCACATCTACTGAAAATCGTGTACGCAATTCTGTTCTTACTGTAAATGACATGGTGAGTGAAATAAGTCCTATTACGAGGGAGTACCTAAAAAATTATTTTGGTTGAAAATCTGAGAGAAAAACGGGATATTTTAAGTGAATTTTCTCAGATTTATTTGGTCAATTAAATGAAGATCCAAATGAATCACTTGAAAACTATAATTAATGTTATTCTATACACAACTACTCAGGCACTAAGTTACCAAAATATGTGTCTCGCCAATAAATAAGGCAGAGTGGACAGCTTTAAAAAACTAAAATAGAGGCATAATGAGGATATGTGGCTTACAGCGGATGGTAAGTCCTATTTCTACATTTCAGCGTAAACTAACTTAATTGCCGCTTAGCAAATCAGAAACCTACATTTGTGTATAGTTGATTATAAAAGACATAGTCACCTTCTATTATCTACATACTACGTGTGTAGTTCTTCGATTCTAGGTTTGATCACTGCAACGGGGTACATACAAAAACTCTTTAAATAAGCGATACTTTTACAAATTACAAAAAAGTAAGGCTGCAAATTTTCAGTTCTTAACCATTTGACCTTCAAGTGAGACACACCCTACAGACAGCAATGACAAACTTTCAAAGATGGAAGGACCCACTGACTCTCCTACGGCGGGAAAAACTACTCATTTTTCTTATTATACTAACAGATATGTATAAGATTATATTTTACGCTTCTGAATCCACAACTGTCCTTACTATACAACTATCACTTTATTTTCCTTAAAAGTATAGTTATATTTATCTCATAACTATTGCTGATAATGTAACTGATTCTTACAGTGCACAACCCTGTTAACTTTAACTTATTATTTTTAGTTACAATCTTTGAGTACTTCTTTTCGCACTGTCGTTTAATCGATGCATGCAATGGATATGTGTAACACCAGTATCAAAAACACTTCTTCATAAATGTCATAAATATTGCAGATCTATATTTGAACTGATTAATTAATCGTTTTAAAAAGTTTAGTGCAAATATTAAACCTTAAAAAAAACCTATTTCTGCCGCGTTAAAGCCCCTTAACTATCGGTAAACTATGTTGTGTATTCATTTTTCGTCATTTTTAAATGTGAAATAGTCAAAAATCATTATGAGTATTTCTCCTAAATTAATGATGGAAATAATAACTAAAATTAACAAGGCTAAGTTACGATAGTAAAAAAAAAAGAACTAATACATAAGTAAGGTGGTTGCAACACGTACTACAACGTAACGCAGGGGCGAATATCGTCGACATTTAATTGACTAGTAATTGCATGATAATTAGAAAATTCAATAAAAAATAACTTAATACTTTTCATGTCATGTAGTTTTGGATAGTTTTTTTTGTGTTGCTCAAGTATTTTTTTCCGCACCGTATTATCTTGAACCGTCGCAAGGATTTTTGCTAATAATTTTTATACTTTTTGTTAATATGTACTCATAATTCGATGGGCTAGGACCCTTACGACTGAGGGCTATGCAGAATTCGACGGGCATGCAGTTGATAATTTATTAGTTTTGCAGTAATTTTCGGAATATTTGCTTCTAGCGTCGATGTGAAGAATGAAGTGCTAAAATTTAAAATTAATGTATAAGTCCGAATCGTATTTGTTCTTACTTTCTAGATAGCTACAAAATCCAAGAAATAGCTCTACTATTAACTAATAACATAAACACTTACTGAATTTTGAACAAAACAAAGTTACAGGACCCCTATTTTCAGAACTTTTTTGTTTTCGTAAACACAATTATGTTATATTTTTTCCAAATTT